TTCTCCAAATTCCCCCGATTTCCGCAGGAGGCGCGCCTCCGGAGAGGGGGAGGTTAACTAAGTTAGATAGATTCGCACCATCAACAGAAGATATAGTCCAATCGTTTCTGTGAGGATAACGTACCTCTACTATTAACCGCTCTCAAAGTCCCATTGGGTCGGCGAACCTAGGCGAGGCCTATTGAGCAAAATACCTTGTCATTTAAATGATGTCGCGCATGAAAGGTTTAAGGGATAGAAAGGCCCTCCAAGTTAAGCCTTGTGTTTGGGAAACCAAGCATATTACAGCTTCCCTTAATGCGGGAAACTCCTAAAGACTTGGAAAGCTATGATGTCTCCCTTAACTAGTCTTAGCTAATAATTCTAAGTATTTTACAATGGACAATCCGCAGGAAGTTCCTGATCTAATCTAAACGAAACCACCCTTTTGGGTGGAACCGCAACGGTTCGCATTTATGGAAGAATTGAAAGATGAAAAACCTAATGAAAATCCCAACTCCCGAATATGTCCCAAGGTGGCAACCTATTAAATTGTCCTCTACTTGGATTGCTGGCTTCAGCGCAGGCGAAATGTCTTTCATCATCACCATTCAAAATAATACATATAAACTAGGTAAACGGGCCCGAGTACTGGTAAGCCTCCCGCAGCATGAGCGTGATCTGCCTATTCTTGTAGCGATTCAAAACCACATGGGGTGTGGGTATATAGTCAAGGATTCAGGTAACCGAAGGGTGTGGATTTTCCGATGTGATAACCCTGAAGAGTTGGAAAACAAAATCCTACCATTTTTTGATCGATTTAACCTTGTCACCTCTAATTTTTTAGACTTTCAGGACATGTGGCGTTTTTTGTACCGTTACGGTTTATACCGTATATTGCGTGTTTTGTACCGTATTATATTCGGTATAAACCGAATATAATACGGTACAAAACACGCAAACGGTACAAAAAACGCTAAGGCATTGAAAATGATAAGGGCTAAGGAACATTTAACACCCGAAGGTCTAGCTAAAATCCAAGAGCTACACGCTCAAATGAACCTCAAGAGAGACCGATCTACAAAAGGGTTCCATGGTACCATAGAAATCACAGATCAATGGCTACAAGGATTCGTTGAAGCTGAAGGGTCATTTTATATATCTGTTACCCCTAATAAAACCAGCGCACTAGGGTACAGGGTAGTTGCTACCTTCTCAATTTCTCAAACGGAATGCGAAAAACCGGTGCTAGAGGCCATACAGAAACATCTAGGTTGTGGGTTCATAAAAACTAAACCGGTAACCACCCCAGGTGGCCGGCCAGTTTGCGAATTCAAGGTAAATAGTTTTAAAGATCAACAAAATCATTCCCTTTTTTTTTTCGACGCAAACCCCCTTCTAACCACTAAAATTCTTAATTACCTAGATTTTGTGACAGTAATGCGCCTAGTTGAGCGAAAAGAACATCTTACTCAATCAGGGCTAGAAGAAATCAGAAGAATTATTGCAGGAATGAACCGTGGTCGAAATTATTCAAACCCTGCCAATATAGAGCAATCCAAGTAGTTCCTTTAGACTTCCGCCTTACTACCTCTTAGGGTGCTTACTCTTCTCTCCTGTTTAGCTTTGTCTTTTCTTCTGTTTTCTTTTTTGTGCTTCTCCTATTATACCTAATTCAAAATTTCCCCTTCTACAGGGTAGTTCAGGATTATCCCCAGAGGCTCAACGGGAAGCACCTTTATTTTGGGTTAGATTCCAAATGAGGTGAAGATAGAGTCCAACCATAGGTGAAAGCCTGTGTATGAAAAGTTAACGATGCTCCCACTGTCTACCAGGACGAGCTCGGCGAAATTGAATTATCCGTGAAGATGCGGATTTCCCCCAGCTAGACAAGAAGACCCTTTGAAGCTTAACTGCGGCTTGCTAGGGTGCAGCTTCAACTCGGGGTGCAGTATACAAGGGAGTCGATGATTTGTGGAATCCACAAATCGACGTTCTATTATGAACGACCAGACAGGAGTGAGATACCTTGCCCCGACTAACCCATGGGGTTGGAGGCTACGCTCCTTGCCCGAAGGGGTCCCCTAGGGGCGTAGTTGGTTGGAGTTGCATAATAAACGCTGGTTAGTAGGCAGTTTTGCTGGGGAGGCCATCCTCATACAGAGTAACTGAGGAGCCCGAAAAGTGTGCTTAGAAAGGTTGGAAACCTCTTGTGTTTTTCTTCTTTAGAAAAATAGCTCTGGAGAGCCTAATTAAGCGTAATGGCATAAGCACGCTTGACAGTGAGACCCACAAGTCGAACTGGCACGCAAGTGGGGCATATTGACCCGGTGATACATTATGAAGTGTTCATCGATCAACGAATTAAAGCTACTCCCTTAGAGTGGCCTGACTTTGGCGAACACTGGATTCCCTTCGCCAAGTACATGAACTCTACTGTATGCGGGGAAGCCCTAGGGATAGCAATCCGCCGACTGGCGGGCTGGATTCCCTTCCGCGGTAGTGTCAAGTTTTCACTGACAAACACAAAGCTTTGTCGTACCGCCGCCGTCGGATCAATCGTCCGACTCGACACAAGGGCAATCCGCAGGTAATCTCATACAGACCCACGATGAGAGCACCTCAGAGACTACACGTAGGCTTTAAGAGATAGTCCGGATGCTACAGTAATGTAGTAAGAGCTCTTCTAGTTGTTGTTCTATCTAGGGGTAACGAATTATACTATTAAAATGGCAAATCAATTGAATAATATTAGAACAGTAAGAGTTGAAGCTCAAGAGTTAATTGCTCAAATAAAGCTGATGAAATGGTTCAAAGAAACCTTATCTTCCCGTCAGTGCTATTTGATCTCTCTATTGGGGCGATGGTTGGCGATCTTTGCCTGCTAGTCGCTACCCTAATAGCGTAGCTTGCCTTCGAATCGGGCAAAGCGTAAAACACCTTGAGTACGCTATACACCTTTACTTATTGTTTGCCCTGTATGTGGCACACCCACCCCCACCCCGCTCCTCCTAAGCTGTATGCGATTAAAAGGGAGGCCGGAGAATACGGGCCAATCAATTTTCAGACACTTTCTTTCCCTTGTTTTTTTTTGATGAATTGTATGACTTGTTCTATGTGGACGGGGTTAAAATAGTCCCGGCTACAATAGGCGAGCGGTTGACCCCTATAGGTTTAGCCTATTGGGCCATGGAGTGGCGTAGGCTAGCCACTCAAGGGCCGTCAGGGCGCTAAGGCGTCCCGAAGGGAGCTCTTCGAGGGGTGAACAAGGGTCCATAATTCATGCTATTGGTTTTATCAATTATTTCGAAATACTATTTGAAGCGGTTCGGAACGATCCTGCGGACATAACGAGGAAAACTGAAACAATAAGCGCTTATACGGTTCAAGGACTCCACAGATATCCCGCCGTCACTCTTTAATCTTTCTGTCGGCTGCTATACGGGAAGGGGCGGGCCGTGAAATTGTCCCCCCTCACTGAATTTAGGCAACAAACTCCAAATAAGTAGTCATTTACTTCTGATCAACCAGCCCTTGAAACCCGCTAAGTTGAGTTTTCCTTGTAGTAGTACAGACGCAAGCAAGAGGCAAGCGTGAAAGCAAGAAAGCAGTATACGTCCCCACACTCAAATTTCCCCCTCCCCTTCCGTGCGACGCCGCCCCTTGAGTGCCTGGCTGGCGGGTGTACACCCGCCAGCCAGCCAGCCAGCCAGCCAACGCCAGCCAGCCAGCCACGGCCTTGCGGGTTTAACGGCCCAGCACGTGGGACCTATAGATAGAATGCAGATGCTCTTTTTCTTCGACTCAAGGGATAACCTTTGTTTGTCCCCTTTAGGTGGTAGAGACCACCCTAAAGTAAAAATCGGGTGAATTGCAAGAACCTCTCTAATTAGAGAAAACTTGCAGCGAAGCTCAACTCGGCATAAGCACGCTACGCTTTTGAGTTGAGAACGCTCAACGACTAAAGAGTGAGTAATGCCAACAATAATCTCTTCACGAGCGCCCGACGCTTAAATTGTTAATAGCCGGGATGTACGAACAATCCGCCCCTCGTATATTGTATGTCTGAATATACATCGACCCGTTATAGGCTATAATGGGTCGTGCGTTTACTATTATTCACTAAACTACTGAGTTACAATCGCAAACTAGCCCTACCCCACTCCCAGCCTTTAGCGACAACCCGCCAATAAGGGTTGGGATTGATGTTCAGGGCTCCAATTTTACTTGTCCATAGTTCAAAGTTATAGCCCTGTATTCCTGGCGCGGTCGTCGGCGCTAAGGTAGGGCCAAATAGACGCCTGCAGACTAAGAGGTTCCATGTAAACTAACAACCGTGATGAAATTTAGTCATAACAGCAAAGCTCTCCGAGAATACAAAGCAAGCTTAGGTCCTTTATCTAAAATCCAGTCCGAAGTTCTCACAGGTTTAATATTAGGAGACTCCAGCATACAGACTCAGAATAAAGGTAAAACATATCGGGTAAAATTCGAATGGGGTCAATTAATAAAGATTACGCTTTCACGTCTATACTTTATTCCAGGAGTGGATCTTAACTGAGCCTAAACCGAGGGTTCGAACTAATATCAATCAAAACGAAGTTACCACATGGTGGTTTCAGACTATTAGCCATGAAGCTTTTAATCCCTTCGCTGAGCGCCATCTGAATTCTAACGGTAAAAAAATAGTCAACCAGAACTTGATCCAATTACATCTTACTCCCAGAGGATTGGCTTATTGGTGACGACGGCGGAAAACTTGACTATTCATCTAATGAGGGTAAGGCCCTCGTATTAAATACTCAGTCTTTTACCGAAGAGGAGGTTCAGCAAATGGGTTTAGAGCTTCACGGTAAGTTCGGTCCCGCGGGTGGGGTGTGTCGCTTTTGTATTGTTAGCGTTTTTTGTACAATTTTTAGATACATGCAAAACTGTCTTTATACAGAGTATCCGCTTGTTTTTTTTGTACAA